TGAAATCAGTAAAGTGACTTCAGAAACTTGCTGAGTTGTTTTATTCACAAGTTGAGTTCCCATTTTGGTATAACTTTGAAGCGAGATGTAATACGAATTCTGATATGGAGGAAATTTTGAGTGGCCATGTTTGAATTTGTTATAATTTAATTATTTTCGTGATGAATCGATTCATGATTCGATTAATCAGACCAAAAAACTGGACTCGATTTAATCGCTTTCTGAAAAAAAAATTATTCGATGAACGTTATTCATTTGATTAATCTGGCCATCGCCAAAATTGAATTTTAGTATTACAAGCAATGTGAAGGCAAAAATTGCCTTTCATTTGAACAATTTTTGTTTGCCTCCCGTCTTTTGTGTTTGTTTTTTCAAAAATCATAGCGTGTAATTACATACTTACCCGTCCATTTTGTATTTTTAACTTAAAGAATAACTTAAAATATTTCGGCAATCAAAAGCTCCGCAGGATTCCAGTGAAATGAGTTTTGAATAGAGCACGATATGTTCGCCTTTTTTCGATAAAGTGTGTATTAAAGCGTTCGAAATTTATTCAATAAAGTAGGCTACACTTGTGGGAAGAAAATTATAACATAAAAATAACTACGAAAAATAAAGCGAGAACGAAAAGTTTTATTTGTTTTTCAAACAAAATACTTTAACAAAAATCTACCAAAATGAAACAAAACTTTCCTTATTACCAACCCTAATTTACCAAAGTGGCAACCCTGGCGCTGGCTCTAATTAAGTCTCTTCCAGTCGCGGCGGAGTACTTCTGTATTAGGCTCATTAGGGTTCCTGGTCACAACGACATTACGGAGAAGTATGTGCCTGACAAATTACTAGGAAAGGTACCCTCGAAACGTTATTACCGAATAAGGAGCGGCTGGGAGTGCCTTTGATCGCCTGTGGTACACTCTTGGATAGATGACCCTAATGTCAGTTCAGCTAGCGCTGGGCGAAAAGCAGGACATGCGTATTGCAAGATCTTTCGGGCCGAGGGTGGACAGTGGGCGGTAGAGGGTACTCCTCACACTTACAAAACCACAGATCTCATTCTTGGTAGGTCTTGGTTTTAGCGGAAGGCGATATATGCGTTAAAGCTTTTAGTGCACTGAGTTCAATTAGCAAGGCATTCAAGATTACGTAGGAATGACTTGACTGCGCAGTTGTAATACTCTTTGGGCCAGTTAAGAATATACACATCCAAACTATAGGAAGTAAGTTAAGTCGATATATTAAAATTCGCAAAGTTGTAGTTATGCTCTTAAGAAAGGTAGATTCAATAAATAATAATAATAAAAAAAAATTTAAAATTATATAAAAAAATAACCAGAATTAAATACTAAAATATGTATTGTTGAACTTGTTAATATGAGGCCATGAGGGCCAGAGGAGCCTATCTAAATATTTTTTTTTTGTAATATGAGAAAAAGGATCTATAAAAAATAAATGCTGTCTTTTCCTAAAAAGTTATCTTGCCTACGTGAAGCTACATATTATAAATAGTAAAAGAATACTAAAAGCGCGTGCCACGGACCGTTTCCATTCTAGTAATGTATTTTCAGCTACACCTTAACTTTTTTTGAAAAGTCAGTTAAGCAACTCGGGACCTCATGGCCTGCGGCATGTGGTGCGCTTATAGTTATGACACGGCGTGTACATATGTATGTAAGTAAATATGAACTATGTATCCGCAATAATTTTTTGCTGGGGTTTATGATACATTACCTTTTTATATTTTTTAGTCGCAAGCTTACGAAAGTAATTAAATTAGATATTTGCTATGTAAACAAACATGTATGTTTCTATGAGCATTAAGGTGATCCAGATAAAGAAAAAGATAGACACTAGAGTGGTTGGCAAAAAAAAAAATTAGTAATTACCTAAACTGATTTGAAAATTTACTTGGAAAGGATTTTGGCGACATAAAAACAACAACTTTGCTCTCGGAACATTTTCGTTAACCCTGCTGAAAATTTGTAACAGCTGCTTGCGCAACCCAACAGAATATCTGTAATTCCTACTTCAGGATCATTTGGGGACTAGTTCTGAATCATTTCGCGATTTGTTAAGGCCTATTTCGGGACCGTTTCTCAACCTGTTCAGGACCATTTTTTGAGTAGTTCGCGACTAGATGAGGACCATTTTGGAACTGATAAGCGAACCTTTCGGGAATATTTCAAGACAAATTCACGTCTTTTTCGACCGTTTCGGGCTTGTTCAGGACTGTTTCAAGACCTTTTGGGGACTTGCTCGGGACCTGATAAGGCCTATTTCGGAGCTATTTCAGGACCAACTTGGGACTAGTTTACGACTAACTATTTCAGTACGATTTCAGGACTAGTTCGGGTTAATTTCGGGCCTGGTTTAGGACTATTTCGGGATAGTTCATGACTATTTCAGGAAGATTTGGAACAGTTCTTTCACTTTTTCAGTAACCTTTCAAGACAATTTTTGGACTAGATCGGGGTAGTTCGAGACTAGTCGCGAAGTGATTTTGAAATAGTCCTTAACTGTTCCCGAAGTGGTTATGACAAAGCCGTGAATTGAATGGTATAAAGAAAGGCCTTTCGGGTTTCAACGACTACCGCTAAGTTAATTAGAAGTTTAGTGATGAATTTATAGACCTTCAGGATTAAAAATTGCACAGGGAGATGGGTGTTTTAGTGGGAGGTTCCTTGTACTAGGATCTATTTAGATGTCGCGAGAGTTCAAATGGATCATAGAACTATCTTTGTAATATATTTAGACCAAAAGCAAAACATTAAGTAGTTACGCTTATCGAATTACTAAAAAATTTTTACCTACATATATTGTGGTACATCCTAATGTAATTACATATATACCTGTTTCCATCTGTATGTGCGATCAAGTTACATGGGAAATGGCATCCGTCAGCGGCCGGTTTTGTGAAGTGAAAAAAACATTTTTAAAATACGTACATACATATACATATATATGTATATGTACTTACCTCATTACGTATATATATTTAATTATACTGATTTAATTATAATGCACTTTTTTACAACTACATACATATGTTTATTTATTTTGCAATTAGTGGAAGGATAAAGCCGACATGTCTGGTGAGAAAGTTATAGCCGGCATGCGTGGCTATGCGTGACTTCATGGAAAAATTTTGCCTAACATTAAATTAGAAAAAGTATATTTATCGTTATAAAGAGCTCTAAAACAATAAGACAAGAATAATCTGTACTAAGAAGTAGTGCGGGAAGGTAAGAGGTGTTACGAAATAGGCGGACGTGAATTGGCGAAAAAGGGTGCAATGTTTTTCGACGTCAAACGCACTCACAGAGAATGCTTCCGAGCTGATACATTTCCTAACGGACTGCCACGAGCCTATCACTTTGTATTCAAACCACTTCTGGACGAAATACTTGACGGTAGGATCGAGTGTTAAAAGCCCAAACTACTTACAATAGCCCAGTGGCTGTGACAGTTTTTAAAATCAGCTGTTACTTTTAAAATGGGCAGCTAGCCATTTAAATATGCATTGTGTGTCGCTTCATTGGACAGCACACTTTCTAAAAAACAGCTGCTTTCGCAAAACTGCTACTGCGCTATTGTATTTTGGGCTAAAGTCTCACACTGTTGGCTCTGGGGTTAGGCTTTCAATGCTTCCTCCTTTCACAAAAAAAAAAACATGTTGCGCAACTCTATAACAAATTTCGCCTAAATCAGTTTTTTTGTGCTCAAGCACTAAAAAGAAAGCTTTGGATTTTGCATGTAATTGTCGTGCTTACCGTTAATTATCGCGTTAAAAAGTTCTCTCAACATTCTATCTTTTTACAAATTCTTTCATAGCTGCGACAAGTACCCAACTTCAAAATATTCTGTCAGATCTAGATTTTTTGCTTGAATTAGGCAAGGCTAGAAAGACAACAGAGGAAAATTGCCTTTTAGTCCATATATCCGAAAGTTGGTGCCCTTCTTGCTTCATTAAACTAACTGAACCGCTATAATATTTGTTAGTGTTATTCCTTTGATTATTATTTCTTTTTCACTGGCTATGTAACTATAATGTAAAATATAATTTGAAAATAAACAAGATAGTCGCTTTCACGAGCAATTTAAATGGAAAATGATTTATTTTTTTTCTGTAATTTTTCATATAATATTCAAAAATTAAAATTATTTACTGGCTTTCGTGAAATTTGTTGTAAAATAATTAAGAAAACGATTGTTCAAATCATGGAAATTTTTTCTTCAAAATCATTTAATAAATTAATTCATCCTCCGTGAAAGGAATAAGTTACAATTTTGCTCGCGGCGCTAAAACAGGAGCAATGGTTTATTTATTAGGTTTTTACAACGATTTTTTATTGTAATTTTTAAATTGTATTTAAAAAAGAAAAAAAATACCTCATTTATTTTTTATGGTATTTGAATCCAACTTTCAGTAAAAACGTGCATGTAAATTTAATGCAGAATTCTTTAGTGGAAACTAAACAAGTGGAGGAAACTAAACAAGTGGAGGCTAAACAAGCAAAAAAATAAAGCTAAATCAAAATTTTAGTTATGGCTACGAAAAATAGCTAACTCAACAAATCGAATATTTTTGGCCGTTATTATGACTTCATAACAGACGCATTCTTGAAAGGAACAACTTATTTCGTTCATTTATAAATGCTCTAAATCCTCTTTTTAAAATATGTTTGATTTTTAGAATCGCATGAAAAATAATAAAGCTGTTAATAGATAAGAGCATGAAGTACGGAAATAACGGCTAAAAAAATTGACGGATTGGGAACTGTCAGAAATATAGTTTCATGTTGTACTAGGCCCTTCCTAAATCCCCTACTAAGTAGAGTGTGAATACTTCTAATATTGAAATATTATAGACAAAATATTTTGTGCTTACGGGATATCTGTAACAAACAATTTTCCAACAGGGCTACTCAAGATACGAGTCGTTCTCCGTGAAAACGTTTATACATACATACCGATTTTTTAATAAAAGTTCAATTATATATAGTTAGCAATAAAAATTCTAATTGCCTTAGTATAAAGATCAATCACTGGCTCATCATTATTATCAAAGTGAAACAATTTATGACTACATGCATATAAATAATACATAACAATAATTTGCGTAGTAAACTTTACAAGATTTCAAAGATTTCATCGTAGGGTGTGGTGTTGAATATTTTCGTTGCACCCTCTTTCATTTGCTTGCCAATTGCATCATACCAAGGTCTCTTCATTTCATTATAAATTTCTTTCCAATTTTCATTTAGAAAGCTGTTTAGATTTTCCCCCAACGCCTTATCGCCATTGAAAAGATTTTCGAAATGCATTGCCAATCGTTTCGGCTTACATTCAACGCGTAAATCTTTTATATTCAAATAAGTTTTACCATCTTCGATGCGCGAGGTGGCATCTATAATCATTTTCATTAGTGGTTCAACTGAAAAATTGGTAGAAACAAATAGAAAGAAAAGTCGTACACCCATGAGCAATAAATTTTGTAAGTGAACTTACCCAACGTGATATTACTCTTGCCTTGACCTTTTATGGGCAAAATCAGCACTTTGCCATCAATTTCATAATCGGATATCATTGAGATGTAGGGCGCGTGCAAAAGCAATTCATGGCGACCATCTGGGGTTTTGCCGAATCCCCTGCAGCATAAAAAATACATATGTAAGTAGGTATGCACATATATTTTGATTAAAATTTAAGTAGTTATTATTTTTTCAACAAGTACAAATTTCATACTCACTTAACCTTCCTCGCTCTAATGTTTTTAGTGCCATATACTACGGGATTCTTTAATGCTAAATAAATTGCCACCGGATTCGCCGGATCCTGTTTAATAATAATGTCTTCCATTTTGAATGGTTCCGTTTGGCTCAGACCGAAACTTTCGTCTCCTTGATTTTTTTCGCCGAACACAGTATTTATATTTTTTATAATACACTTGCTATCACCGGCTACGCATCGCTTAAGATCGCTAGCTGTAAGAAATGTGTAAGGGAATTAGTTTTGTGTTAGAATCAGCTTTAATACGGGATTTGAAAAATGCTTGTTTTCCGTCAGGCTTGAAGCCGAAGGGAGCCATGTGCGACTGTGGAAGACTCTTTGGTCAGACTAGGATTGTGAACCTATAGGTCAGTAGAGTAGCTATGTATATCGGATAATTGGCCGTTCGATTATCTGGTGTCCAAAAACTAAACAAAAAAACTGTAAAATAACGTTTTTTTATAGTGCAAAGGTTTGTTTAACCAAGGTCCTAAAGTCGACTTTCGAATGGATTTCACTCCACAATCTTGTTCAAACAGCAGCAACTTGGAGAGAGGGCTTGCAAATGCAAAAACCTGGCGGTAGTCTTCATAATAACAACTAACATACAGGTTTTTGGTTAAAATGCTAGGATAGGAATGACACGGGTTTTCTGACTCTATGCTAAAAAAATCTGCTCTTGCAGGAAATTCCAGATCCAAATTTTAGACTGGACGTGCTGGTCAAACGCATTTCCTCACTTTGATCCCAAATATGTACATAAATACATAGATTGGCCAAGGATAGAGGACAGAACAGGTGCCGACTTTACGAACCCGGCATTAGAATTTCTAATGCAAATGGCAGATGACCAACAACTTTTTTAAATCGAGGTATCAGAAGTAACCTTGGAAAAATCAAAATCATCTTTATAGCTTCAACACTTAGCAGCGCGAAAACATTGCAATAAAGTTTAGCGTAGCAGACCACTGCGTGATCGATGTCACTGACGATCTAATGAAGGACTCAACCTTGTTGGGCCAGAAACACTTTGCAGACTCAGTTGGTTTTCTTTGAGACTTCTTCGAGCAACTGAAAGGGTAAACTCACAGCGCCGTAAGTACTGGGGAGCAGTAGGCTCTTTTATACAGGTCACACTCTTTGGATATCCTTTTGGCAGACAGAATGTACATATGCACATATATAGATCTTTTGAATAGATCCAATATCTGGTTGCCAACTGAGTATCTAACATGACTTAACAGTTATCTATCAAGCATGTCTTGAAGGAAAAAATTGAAAGACAGTAAAGTAAGACAAAAAAAAGCTTCCTTGCCAACTTTCATGGTTTAAAGCTCTTTTGACAGAAAGCACTAGAGCTTGTTCTAAATAAAGATATATGTTTATCATATTACTCACACTGCTAAAACATTCGCAATGGTTGCGATTTTTTTTTTAATTTTTTTAAAACATATTTATGTATTTAATTTTCTTTTAACTTTTATAATTTATTGCTTTAATTAAAAAGAAAAAATATATATTTTTAGTTTCATTAAATTTCTAGAAACATATTTTCTTTTAATATATTTTTTTTATTTAATATTCTTTTCATTTTGAGATTCCATTTCTTTAAATCTTTTCAATTACATTTAAATTTTAAAACTTTATTTATTTTTTAAAATTTAATTTGTTTTATCGTTTATTTTATTATTTATTTTTCTTTTAGGGTTTTCTTTACTTTTAAAATTTTGTAAAAAAAAATGTTTTTTAAATTTTATTTATTTTATAGTCTCTTCAATTTTTAAAAAGAAATATGTAAATTTTTTTAATTTCATTTAATTTTTAAAAACTTACTTGAGTTTTACATATTGTTAAAAGACAAACCGAATAAATCCAGCTCTGGTGGACTTTGTTCGTATTCTCGCAAATCTGAGAATGATTAATTCCTAGATGAGGGTGGGTCTCATATCGTAAGATACATATGCGACAAGGCGTGCATCCCTGATTCTAAAGTAATTTTACAAGGCAATTTCAACACATTTTTGGTGACACCTGCATTCGACAATAAAATAACATTTTTAGACTACTAGTTCTTCCAAATGCTTTTTTCACAAAAGTGTAATGATTTTTCAGAACTTTAATTTACTAGTATGTTAAGATGGTAAGAGATTTGGTGGGTACGCACTACAGCGGGGTACTTGAGATCAATGAACTGTGGTACAAAAATATCTTCACCTAGGGACAAGAACATCGATATATCATACTCTAAGATCCCACTGTAAATGCTGAAGATATGACGAAAAATGTCTGGCCAAAATGAAATTATTATTCCGAAGGAAGTATGGCGTAATTTGATTACCTGTTATAGAGTAGTGAACACCCTTCTTATGCGCTTATGGGCGGGGCAAAGGCCTTCAGCGTCTACATATGAAACTCTTCTAATAGCCTCCCTCTTCTCGGATCACTGATCATCGTTAGAGAGGATGGATTTGTAGATAAATCTGGTAAAAGTTCGACAAGAAAAGTTTCGGCTCACACATTCGTCTAGAATGGAATTATAACTGACCACTGGTCAATGAGAAGGCAATATAGTAGAATATGTAGACCTGCCGGCCAATGAATTCTGCCGTATGTCAGCATCCGTGATCAAATAATTACTGGTTTCGAATGGAATGAAATTAAATGACAGCTATTTTCTATCCAATCCAATTAAAATGCTGGCCTGTTATCGAGCACTGTAAAAATGAATTTTCAATTTAAATTTCATTCATTCACGGGTGGTTTGGTTCGGCTCCAAGTTTTGAATCAATTAAAGTATCAATTTTGATTGATAATTTACATACCTTACACAAAGTATGTAATTGCATGGATAAATTCTCATTAGCGTTAAATTGATTGTTTTTTACACATTCTTCAATTGCTTTTTACTAGGGTGAATAAATTTTAAGGCGTTTTCTTTTCTCTAAAAGATATTGCCTTCTCAATGCCCTTTCCTTAGTATTTGTGCGTAGAGGACAATGAAAAGGCAATATTATTCGGTTGAAGAGAAAACGCGATTAGTCTATCTTCTAAATTAACAAAATATGGTTGGCGGTTTGGTATACTATTTACCAGAGTTGTGAAAAATGCACAGCATTTTAATGTTAATGTAAAAAAATAATGCATTATGTTTAGGGAGTTTAATGCTAATAAAAAATTTTGATGCATTAATTTTGAAAATGTAATGCTTAATAAAATTTTAATGCATTTATTCTGGGACAAATAATGCTAGTGAATATTTTTTTTGCAGTAACATTAATGTTTGCAAATTAATGTTAATGCAATAATTAATATTTATATATATTAATATTTAATTTAATTTGTGGTCCAGTGCAATTATATGCGATTAAACAACCACTACTCAGATTGAAGACCTCACCATGTATCTACGTAGAAGAAACATTGGGACGTATTTATGCATAAAAACTAAGCAATTGCTTTTTCTTAAAATTGCATACCTTTCACTTAAATTTATTTGAACAAATCGAGTAAAGAGTCTAAAATTTTAAGAAAAAGCATTTGCTTAGTTTTTAGGCATACGACCAATTATCAATTAANGCCTTTCACTTAAATTTATTTGAACAAATCGAGTAAAGAGTCTAAAATTTGAAGAAAAAGCATTTGCTTAGTTTTTAGGCATACGACCAATTATCAATTAAACTGCTTTGTATTTAAGTATGTATAAGTATGTTATTAATTGCGTGGTTCCCTTCTAACACGCAACGAATTACAATATTAGATATGTATATAAAATATCCCGAGAACAAACTTAATGGTTTCTATTAATGCAAAGGGGTAAAACGATTATTTATTTTAATGCATTAAAATTTTCCATTAGCATTAGTTTTGGATAATTTAATAAAAAAAGAATTGCATTAACATTATTGTTCAAGAATGCATTAAAATGTTATTAATCATTAAATTTTCAAAATGCATTAATTTTTACATTAACATAGTTGCCTTAATTTAACATTAATGCATTAAAAACTTAATGCATTTTTAACAACTCTACTATTTACTTACTTACAGTCATCAACAAAATAACTATTTTTCTTCTATTATTAATTTTCAACATTTCTTTTATAAAGATATACTACCTTAAATATTATACGAGTATGCTTATTAAAAACCATATAATTCTGCATTTGAAACTTTATACAGAGAAAGATTTTGTCAAAATTTTTAAACGTTTCGAGCAATGTGACAGCCTACCCAAAAAAAAAGTTAAAACTGCTCAAAATAGGTTTTAATAGTTATCAAAAACTATCCGATTTTTCAGTTCGCGTACATAAAAATCCAGCAAATTAGGGGAAATTGAGAGACCAAATTGATATTTCATTCTGATGAAAAACTGCCGGTTTCTGCTGGAAAAATTTTTGCCAGCAGCAAGATAAACAGCTGATCAAAGTCACCTGTTATCAATTTATGAAAATATGGAAATTTATTTTAGATTTAGATTTAGATTTATTATTATGATTTTTAAGTTTGAAGTAACTTAATACAACTGCAAATGCATCGGAAGAAAGCAAATACTCATTTACTCATGTTTGATTAGCAAATTGCTTTAGGAAAACTTTTAATTTATATTCTTGTCATGTTTTCTGTTTTATGCTTTTGTATGTAAACAAAATTTCGATCAGCTGTACTAAAACCCTGCAAGTATTTGCCAGTTTTGCGTTCGCGTACTTTTGCTAACATTTCTCTCTTTGAGAGAGAACAGATAAAAATTCATTAGAATTTTGCTGCTGAGAGTTTTCTGCTGGAAGAATACACGAATACACCTAATATCGCTCTCCTATTTTGACGTAGAATACGTCTTACGTTTCGATCAGTGATCGGAGGACTTCTACCACATTGTGATAGATCTGCCGCTTTTTGGAGCATCTACCACACAAGGTCTGAAATCTACCACCTATTCGCGTTTTTGAGTAGTTTTATTTTTTTTATTTTTGCGCTCGACATAATTTTCTTAATTTCAAGAGCAAAAATTGTTCAACACTAAACACTATATGGTTACGAGAATGATATAATACAAGATTCCGCATTTCCAGCAGCGATGAAGTTCCTCAAGTAAAAGTAATGCCGAATGGGAGGATAAAATAAACTGTGAAATAGTACATTTTCTCAATAATAAATTTTTCAACAGAAATGTGGTTTTATTGTCTTAAATTGCAAAATATATGATTTATAAAAAGAA